ACAGTCAAAGTCTTCCATCATTCGATATCCCATATTATTTTCTGGTTGTACCAAAAAATAAGCAATCAGAAAATTATTTCACCTTTAAAAAAAAAAAAAAAAAAGCACTTGTATTTAAAAAATGGGATGTGATTCACTCCTTCTTAAAAATGTTTCTAGAGCTATCGAAAACCTTACATTTACAGAATATTCCTCTGGGTTGTACAAGAAAGGAGACAGGGACGGCCGATAAGATATGGAATATAATACTAATCAGACTTGGCTTCTTTCTCTGCAGCTTCAGAGGCTGGACTCTCAGTTTTAGTTTCTTTGTTTTAGAAAGTAAATCTTCTTTAGTTTCTTGATTATCTATGCTGGCCCATTTTCCCTTTCCTCCCTTTTTCTTTCTCCCTTTTGTTTGTACCTTTTTGTCTGAAGATTTGTCCTTTTCTGTTGCATTTTTTTTTTTTTTTTGAGATGTTGCTCATCACCAAGGATGGAGCGTAGTGGCAAGATCTTGGCTCACTGCACCTCCACCTCCCAGGTTCAAGTGATTCTCCTGTCTCAGCCTTCCAAGTAATTGGGATTATAGGCACCCACCACCGTGACGGGCTAATTTTTGTATTTTTAGTAGGGACAGGGTTTCACCATGTTGGCCAGGCTGGTCTCGAACTCCTGACCTCAGGTGATCTGCCCACCTCAGCCTCCCAAAGTGCTGGGATTACAGGCCTGAGCCACCACACTGGGACTCCTGCTGCCTTTTCCAGCTTCATTTCTACTTTTGCAGGAGCAAATATATGGCTTTTTAGATTTTCAGTACTTATGTTAAGAATTGAAATATGTGTACTGACCCTCAACACAACCAATAAAATCTCAATTATAAAAGAAAAAAGGTGTTATTAGAGTTGGTGTGTACAACTCTAATTGCAACACAGGTATTTTACTGTATGCTTCATGTATTGATGCATTGCATTCAGCACTTTCTTGAAGACCTTCCCAACAGCTGCTTAGGAGGGCCTTTGAGACTCCCCTAGCCCACAACAGCCAAATCACTATCAACACATTCCTGGCCAAGGAGCCAAAACCTTGTCAAAAAAACCTGAAACCTAAATTATTGCATCTGGACAATGAGATGCCAGAACCTCACCCTGTCACCCACTTGAGCAAGTGCTTGAACAACCGCTTGCTTGCTGTTGACCAACTCCTCTTCCTTCCCTCTGTCTAATTCCTCTTTTGCCACGCAGGGTTCCATTACTTCCCTGCCATATAAATCCCTAATTTTAGTCAATCAAGGAAGTGGATTTGAGATTGATTTCCTATCTCCTCGGCTGTAGCACTCAATTAAAACACTCTGCCCTGGCAATACTTACTGCCTCAGTAACTGATTTTCTATGTGGCAAGCAGCAGGGCATAGACCAAACTCCTAGCGTTTTAATAACACTAGATTGCTTTTGCATTCCTATGAAAATCCTAAGAGTGTATATTTTTGCCTCCATTTAACCAAAGAAGAGAATGAAGATCAAGGAGGTTTTCCAAAGTCATTCACTTAACAGCAGAACCAGCACTTTTATTCTCAGACAGAAGTATAAGAAAAGTTCAGGAGAGGAATTAATCCAGAAGGCATAGTTAAAAACAGGACAATGTAAGAGTTTGAAAAGATAATGACACATATAAAACGACAGGTATTCCTAATGTGAAAATCCGAAATACAAAATCCTCCAGAATTTAAAACATTTTGAGCACTGACATGATGCTGAAAGAAAATACTCATTGGAGCATTTCAAATTTCAGATGTCGCAATTAGAGATGCTCAGCTGGTGGGTATACACAAATATTCCAAAAGTTTTAGAAAATCTGAAATCTGAAACACTTCTGATTCCAAGCACTTCAGATAAAGGATGCTCAAACTATGAAAGAAAAAAAAATCAATTTTCAATTATAGCCAATCCCAAGAAGGCAGGAGGAGTAACAGGAAAATAAAGAGGAATACTTCAACCAAAAGTAAAATCAGCTAAGTGTCCCCAGGGTCCATGTACATCAGAGAGGGTGCTTTCAATCACAAACAAGAGAAAACCCAAATTGATGGGGTGAAACAGTAAAGAAAATGTATCATCTAGCATCACTGAGAAGTCCAGGGTTCATGCAGGCTTTGGATACAGTTTAATCTGGACTCTTCTGAGAGACTGTTGCCTCTACCTTCTGGCCTGTGGGATTTCTCTGGTGCTGAAAAAATATGACTTAAGCAGTTTCAGGCTTCATATCTCACACCACAAAATCTAGGACAAGAGAGAGCATCTCTTTTCCCTATTGTCAAAGACAAGAATAAGCACCATGTCAACAATGTCATTTAAAAACAGATCCGGCCGGGCACGGTGGCTCAAGCCTGTAATCCCAGCACTTTGGGAGGCCGAGGCGGGTGGATCACGAGGTCAAGAGATCGAGACCATCCTGGTCAACATGGTGAAACCCCGTCTCTACTAAAAATACAAAAAAATCAGCTGGGCATGGTGGCGTGTGCCTGTAATCCCAGCTGCTCAGGAGGCTGAGGCAGGAGAATTGCCTGAACCCAGGAGGCGGAGGTTGCGGTGAGCCGAGATCGTGCCATTGCACTCCAGCCTGGGTAACAAGAGCGAAACTCCGTCTCAAAAAAAAAAAAAAAAAAAACAGATCCATAGCCCTGAACCACCACTATGAGCAAGGGTAAGTGGAGCCTATACAATGATTGGCTTAAATCTCAAGTTACCTTCCATCCTTTAGCCTATCACATTGTAAAGGATGAGTTCTCCTGGTTGCCTTAGGCTGATCACTAGAGCTGAAGGCGGTATCGACCAACCAAAAGACAGATGAGTACTATGCAATGTGGCAAGGTGGATTGAAACCCAAATGGATTGGAACCAATCGTGTATAACCCAGATAGAAGACTGCAGCAGTCCCTTCTTTACCCTCCTCTATCCCATATTTTTCTTTTCCTCTTCTCCCATCACAGCTTCATTTTCCAAAAATTTCTGTATATGCAGCTACTTCCCACTGCACCTGGTCTGCGTGGATGTTTCCCTTGCCTTGGGCCCCTCTCCTCAGCTTCCTAAAAAAATTAGAGCTAAGTCCCTTTCTGCAAGTTCATCTCAAATAAATTACTATACTAGGAAACTAAGAAAGAAACAAAAAAATGAAAATGGCAAACAGCAGAATCATAGGAAATATTTGTTCAATTAATTCACGAATCCTAAAGTAATTGAAGTCTAGCGATGGCTATCTTGACAAATACTATCATTTGGGGGTCAATAGACAATCCTCATGATTCAAAAATGTGATATTTGCTAGTTTGCCTGCTTGTTAAAATTTATTTGTAACCGCTAGATTTATATTCGTAGCACTTTCACAATCACTCATGAATATGTGCAGAGAGGTACAACATTTGAGTCCCCCAAAGAACATGTTCTCAACTAAGGGCAAAAAAGGTGGTGCTCTGCCTTCAGGTTCCAGCTCTCACACGGTTAAAAAAGGGCCCTTTCTGTGACCTAGGTAATGCCAACTTTTCCAGTTTTGTGTTTTTTGGTGGTGACTTCACAATCTTAAATAGTTGCCAAGTGTAGTAAGTGCTGCCTCATTTTCCTAAGCATAAGCATGCCGTGACTTGCCTTACAGAGAAAAATGTGTGTGTTAGAAAAGCTCTGTTACAGGGCCGGGTGCGGTGGCTCAAGCCTGTAATCCCAGCACTTTGTGAGGCCGAGGCGGGTGGATCACGAGGTCAAGAGATCGAGACCATACTGGTCAACACGGTGAAACCCCGTCTCTACTAAAATACAAAAAGTTAGCTGGGCATGGTGGCGCGTGCCTGTAATCCCAGCGACTCAGGAGGCTGAGGCAGGAGAATTGCCTGAACCCAGGAGGCGGAGGTTGCGGTGAGCCGGGATCGCGCCATTGCACTCCAGCCTGGGTAACATGAGTGAAACTCCGTCTCAAAAAAAAAAAAAAAAACCAAAAGAAAAGCTCTGTTACAGCTACAGGATTGCTGACTATGAGTTCAATGTTAATAAATCAACAGTCCAGTAAATGCAGGAAATGAGAGGAGGAAATTCACCCACCTGTGGGTGAGGCTGCTTGTGAAAGTAACATCTGTATGCTATGCGGAAGCTATGGGAAAATAGCTACATTTGTAGATTCATGAGATGAAAACCGTTTTTATAAGTGTAGTGGACAGCATTGCTGTGAGGCTGAAAACCAAATAAATTTGTGATCATGTTAACCAAGGTCAGATAGTGTTTTATTATACAGAATTACCGCATATAAGGAATTCATTGTAAATATATACATATATAAAATAAGATGATTTTAAAAAGGAACACACATAAAACAAGCTTATGTATTAATCAATTAACAAAAATGTTGGGAAAAATCTCACAAGAACCGAACTCCTATATTTCCCCTGGGAACAACGGCTCAGTGCTCACGAATTCAGTGTTTGCCTCAACTACACAGAACATAACTGCCATGAATAATGAGAATGTGCAATAAGTACATTACTTCCTTGGATCTCACTTCAATCTTGAGGAGCAACACCCTTGTTCCCTTCTTCACTCATTTTCCTTCAGTGACACACTTGTACAACATCTCAGGCATCTTCCACATCAGTACCTTTCAAATTTTAATGGACTTTTTGAGTATCCTGCTGATTTTCCAAAACGCAAATGATAATTCAGTAAATCTCAGTTGAGGTCCAAATTCGACCTTTCTATCAAGCTCCAATGTGAGAACTCTGCTGCTTGTCCTTGAACCAATGAATAGTAAAGACATGCACCCTGCCTTGCACACTTGGAACAGTAAATGAACTCTAATAGCTCTCTATAGTTGAATGATAGGAGTGATAAGAGGAAAAATTATTTCTCCTCTGGAGCTCAGGAAGAAACTATAGAACTAGGAATGCACAAAATCTCCTCCAAGTGAGAAAACTTTTCATCAGAAGCCTTTCAAATGTCTCAACTACTTCAAAAGCACTAGGAAATAAAAGAATTTTTTTAAAAAAAAGACTACAAATTTGGCATAAATTCAACAGAGTTTTATTGAGAACATGTTTCATGCAGGCAAGATCCTTCACCAGGGATGCATATAATAACACACATATTTTGCATTGAAGGAGCTGAAAAATTAGAAGGAAAAGGAGAACCTAAATAACTGCAACAAAGGAAAAGAAGTAAGGAGTGCAGTTAGCAAATATGGCTGAAATGTGGCGGGAGCTCAGACCAGGGGGAGACCGCTTCCCACGTGTGAGTCAGGGAAGGCCCTCTGGAGGAAGGGAATCTAAAGGGGGCTGTTGATACATTAATGGCTGAGCGTGTGGAGGTGGCTAGGACTCCATTCCATTCAGAGATAAAATTTGAATTTTAAAGCCCGAAAACCCAGGTCAGAACAACAAATTCTGCAAAATTGCATTTTTCAATTATATTGATAAACGATTGTTAAGCAGAAACAAGCAAAAATAACAAAGTTTTACAAGGAGAGTGAAAAGGATGTCATCACCACGACATGTTCAGGTGTGTCCTGAGCCCTTAGGCTGCTGGTTCCTTATCTCAAAAGAATGGTGACGAGAAGGCTCATGGTGTGTCTCAATGGAAGCTGGATGAGAACAGAGATAGAAGTCGCTCTGAATAAGGTAGAGGTGAGAATTGAGAAGTAAGAGGGAAGGGGGCTGGGGAGAGAACTGAGAAGACAAACAAAAACCATGGAAATACAAGTGGCGTAGGGGGTAGGAGTAGGAAAGGCACACGAAAAGAACTCACCGGCGTTTCCTGAACCAAAATGCAAGACATATTATCACAAGAAGTAAAGGCACTATCACCGCCAAGATGATCAAGCCCACGGAATTGTGATGTCCTGTGAATTTGGGGAGACACCAAAGTGTTATTTTAAATCCACCCCATTTTACCTCATCCACTCCCTGTTTCACTGCATTACCCTGGGCTTCGCATTTTTATTTGAGTGTCATTTACTAATCTCTTTTCTTTCTATATTTTCTTCTCATCCCTGCTCAGAGATGGAGTCTTCATCTAACCCTCAGCATCCTCCTGCATCTACAGGGCCCTCATTTTCAACACTTCTATTTCTTAGATTACCTGTTTTTATTCATGATGGGGTTGTCATCCCAAAAATCCTAAAATTTTCAGCTTGCCCTCCCTCTATGCTGAGGACCACCTCCTGGCATTTCCAGCCTGGGCTCCAGCTCCTTCTCACCCCAGTAGAGGACGATGTCCTGGCCTTCTAAACTGCTGTGCTTCACCCGACAGGCCAGGCCGGCCGCCTCCCCAGTGGCCACCTCCAGGGTTGCTCGGAGATACCATGTCTCATCAGCATTGGGCAGGACGTCCCCTCGCTGAGTGCCCGCCTGCTCCTGCTCACCCCGCATCCACATCACCCACACGGACTTTGGGTAGAATCCTGAGACATGGCACACCAGCAGCAAACGGCCAGGGCCAAGACTGGAGCCACTGGACAGCCAGGCCTCAGGCTTCACTGCAAAGGTCAGAAAAGATATTCACATAGAGACTTGGAGTTTCATATCTCCACATGAGTTTAGAAGTTTAGATAGAAACACCTTTCCCATTTCTCTTTTTTTTTTTTTTTTTTTTGAAACAGCTTCTCACTGTGTCACTATGCTGGAGTACAGTGGCATAATTATAAATTGTAGCTCACTGTAGCCTCAAATTCTTGGGCTCAAGTGATCCTCCTGCCTCAGCCTCTTGAGTAGCTAGGACTACAGGTGTGTGCTACCATGACCGGCTAATTTATTTTTATTTTTTAGAGATGGGGGTCTCACTCTGTTGCTCAGGCTGGGCTGGGACTCCTGCCCTTAAGTGGTCCTCCAGCCTCAGCTTCCCAAAGCACTGGGATTACAGTTGTGAGCCCCTGTACCCAGCCATTCCCACTTCTGGGTGGCTTCTCCTTATTCTGAATTTGAAGGGGGTGGTAGCCGGGTATGATTTTCAAATCACTAGTTCTTGGAGTGAGGGTGCAAGACTGACCTTGCTGCTGGAGATGTGCCTTTCCTGAATCAAGAAGACCCAAGAGTAAACGTGGGAGGGTTTCATTGAGACGGTGTACTAGGACCTTGTTGACCTGATCCTGATTGACTGCTCTGCAGAAACGCTCGGCCGCATTTCCAGCCCCTGGAGATGGCAAACATGAATCCTCCTGGAAGCTCATGAAATCTGATCCTTGATAAGCTACCCGAATGAAGCCTCTTGGTACTTTTCCAGAGTGCAGCTCACAGCCTCCTATCACCTGTAACTCAAAAGGATCTGGGGTCATGGATTAGAGGAAAAGGGAGAGAAAACGTAAAATGAAATGAGCAGTAGCAGAAGGGGGAAGTCTTCAGGGTTTGACGGGATGGACTAAAATTTGGTTTGGTCAGGGATTCAGAGAAAGGGGAATTAGTGGAAGCTGTAGGTGGAGGAAAAGACTAGTAACATGAGGAAGAGGGCAAATTGGTCAAAGAAGGTGGTGTGAATGCTGTGCATGAGGAAGGACTTGGTGTAAGAGAACTGGGATTATAACAACTTGGGTTGAATGGCATGCAACGGGTTACAATGAGAATGCATATGGAGACTGCTGAAGAGAATGAATGAGAAAGTGAGAAAGCTGAAGGTATCTGGTTGTAGGGCAGGAAAAAGTGTGGCCATGGGATACCTGTAAGAAAAGTTAATAAAGCACAACCCTGCAATCAATCAGAGAGGAGTTCGTAAGTAGCAGATGTGTTTGAAGAATTAGGGCCTGGATGATAGACCTTGCCCAACTGTATGCAATTGCAGTTTTATGGTGGAAAGAATAGAATAAGATACAGAAGAAAGTCAGGCTGTTTCCTACAGGAGTAAGGAACATGTGACATCCCCTTCTCCCACCTCCCTACTTCCCATGGAGGAAACTGAACTCACATTTAAACTGCAATACACTGGCGTAGCTATGAATTCCCTCGTTAAACCGAATGAAGTGTATATGGATTAGCGTTTCCAGTTCCATCCACTCCTCATTGCTGAAGTTTCCCCTGGACCAGGGCCACAGGAAAATGATGGTGCCGGAATTGCTGTCCCAGGTGTGAGTCTGCAAATCATCCAGCCAACCTGAGCCCAGATTTCGTACCCAGGAATGGTTATAAAAGGATGAGATCTGGATGGCATGAAAGGAGACCGGCTCCTTGAGCCCTGTGGCAAAAGAACAGATAGAATGGGGAGAAAGACATTAGAAAGAGAATGGAGAGAGAACGTTGCCAGAGTAGGGAAACTCAGAATCTGGAGAAAAGGGGATCTATCATGATGTTAGCAGACCTTTGCTTACCACAGAGTCCCATGCCTTAGCAACCACCTTCTTAAGAGCTCGGGAACCTGGAGTCATGGACAGTCAGAATGGAACCAGCCTGGCACTCTCACTCTCCAGATACATGCTAGGGAAAACACACACACACACACACACACACACACACACAGAGAGAGAGAGAGAGAGAGAGAGAGAGAGAGAGAGAAAGAGAGAGAAAGAGAACTTCATGCAGCCAACTGGGCAGTTCTCAGAGTTCTTACCATCTGCACTTTCACCACCCGGGAGAACAGCTATCAATGGAAGTAGCAGAAACAGCATGTCATTTGCAGATGTGATTTCCTTCTCTCACAAAAACTGATCTTTGATTTCTGTTCCAAACACAGCTACCCCACGATATCTCTAGTCTGACTTCTTTCTGCAACCAACAGACACACCTCCCCTGACTGCAACAAAGAAAATCTATGCTCTCACAAACCCTGAAACGCCTACTCAGTCTCTCATTTCCCTCTGGTTCTGACTCTCCTCTCTAGTTTCCAGCTTCTCTCCTTGTCGCCAACTTCCAACGTGTTCACCTTCCCCTAATTCATCTTCTCTGGAACAAGTCTTAAGTGGCTTTGAGAAGCCACTTAACCACTAAGGACATTTTTTTCCCCATTCATACAATAAGAGCACAAAACTAAATGGCTCCCAGTGCACTGCCCAATGCTCCCATGTCCCTGCACTTTTGATCACTCTGTCCTTTTCAATACTTTCCCATGTATTTGCTTCCCTTGTCTCATCCCCAACCCCACTACATTCATTTCTGGTTTAACATTGGTTCTTTTGCTTTTTCAGAATCCCCTGTGACTGCCCTGTGTGACAGTATAAACTAACATTTTCTCCATTATTCTTAGAGAAGAGCCAGTAACCATCACAAAAAACCACAGGAACACTAAAACATATAAAGACAATGTCCTCTGTTTGATTTTCATTGATATACATTCACTCACCCATCAGCCTCTCTCAGCGCCTGCCTGGAGCCAAGCATCTTGCTACACTGAAGAATATGCTATGGTTGACAACACAATCGCTTTATTCGAGGAGCTTACTGAGGGAGAAAAGCATGCCAAGAACTATAAAACTTGGTGTACTGAGTTTTATTACATTGTAAACACTCTCTGGATAAAAAACAAGCCTCTTGAAATATTATTTTCTAAAATGGGGACTCTTAACCAACGTTTGCCAGCCCAGAATTTTGACTTCAGTAGTTGACTTGGAGTGTTAGTTCCATGCTGTTAGCATACTGTATCCCCCCACCTAACAGAGTACCTGGCAAGTGATAGGTGTTAGTGAATATTTGTCAAATGAATGAATGAATTCAGTCTATGCATTCATTTTTTAATTATGGAGGAGATACCAACATAAAATTTTTTAGTATACTTTATGTTCTGGGTACATGTGCAGATCGTGCAGGATTGTTACGTAGGTATACATGTACCCTGGTGGTGGTTTGCTGCATCCATCGCCCCATTGTCTACATTAGCCATTGCTCCTAATGCTATCCCTCCCCAATTCCCCCACCCGCTGCTATTCCTCCCCTAACCCCCCAGACCCCGGTGTGTGGTGTTCCCTTCCCTGTGTCCATGTGTTCTCATTGGTCAACAACCACTTATGAGTGAGAACATGTGGTGTTTGGTTTTCTGTTCTTGTGTCAGTTTGCTGAGAATGATGGTTTCCAGTTTCATCCATGTCCCTGCAAAGAACATGAACTCATCCTTTTTATGGCTGCTTAGTATTCCGTGGTGTATAGGTGCCACATTTTCTTTATTCAGTCTATCATTGATGGGCATTTGGGTTGGTTCCAAGTCTTTGCTATTGTGAACAGTGCCACAATAAACATACATGTGCATGTGTCTTTATAATAGAATTATTTATAAAATATCATAAAGGCTACTTATAATCATATGTAGTAAGATGAGAGTCTTATGTAGTTTTATTTAGGATAAAAGTACAAGTTACTAACATGAAATTTACATACAGGATCCTGCTATAAATTTCCTATAACTTATAAGAAACTAGTCAGAACTTGGGAGCAGTAAAGTTAATGGAGTATTCCAAAGACTTTATCCCAGGATCCCTTCTTATTAGTCCTACTTGGATGTTTCAGGGTAGTTTTGTCATAAACAAGTGTCTGCTGGACAGATTTACATTCCTCTTTTATGCTGCTTATAACTGTTCAAGGGCTTCTAAATATGTGCTTGTGCTTTGTAGGTACCATCCATGTAAATGTGTTTGGGATATTTACTTTTTCGAATTTCAAAACAAAAATTATCTGAAGCTAATTTGGGGGAAACATTTTTTTTCTTGCGACAGGGCTTCACTCTGTTACTCAGGCTTGAGGGCAGTGAAATGATCATAGCTCACTGTAATCGCAGGCTCCTGGCCTCAAGCAGCTGTCCTGTGTGTCACCCTCCCAAAGTGCTAGATTTATTTGCATGAGCCACCATGCCTGGCCTGCAAATAACTTTTTTTTTTTTTAGTTAGAGTCTCGATCTGTCATCCAGGCTGGAGTGCAGTGGTGTGATCTCGGCTTACTGCAACCTCTGTCTCCCAGCTTCAAGAAATTATCCTCCCTCGGCCTCCCAGGTAGCTAGAATTATAGACATGCACCATCATGCCCAGCTAACTTTTGTATTATTAATAGATACTGGGTTTCATCACGTTGGTCTCGAACTCCTGACCTCAGGTGATCCACCCACCTCGGCCTCCCAAAGTACTGGAATTACAGATAATTTTTTTTGTGGGGGGAAGTGACATCACTTTTCTGAGCCCTAGGTTTCCAACTTTTTTATTTTTTATTTCGTATTTTTATTTTACTTTAGGTGCATACTATATCTGGCATTTTTCCCCATGTTATCCCTCCCCACCCTCCCCACCCCCTACTGTCTCTCCCCTGCCCGCCCCCAACTGCCCCCAGTGTGTGATGCTGCTCTCCCTGAATCCACATGTTCTCATTGTTCAACATCCACCTATGAGTGAGAATATGCGGTGTTTGATTTTCTGTTCTTGTGTCAGTTTGCTGAGAAGGATGGTTTCCAGATTCATCCAAGTCCCTACAAAGGACACAAACTCATCGTTTTTTATGGCTGCATAGTATTCCATGGTGTATATGTACCACATTTTCTTTGTCCAGTCTATCATAATTTTTTAAAATTAGGATTAGCATACAAAAAAGCTGGAAAGAGCTTCACTTTCATACTTATAATTTTTTGACAATGGACTATCAAAATCACAACTTGAATTTATATAGAAGACCTGGGAGTCACAGAAACAGGGAAATTCACATCAGTCTCTAAGCCCTTTTTCATAAACCTAACCAAGGTCTTCTGAAAGATTAGGGTCAGAGATGTAGATCAGATAAATTCCCTCTCATGATGTGGGCCTGAGGTACAAGAATAGCTACTGCAAGGTAGTAGGTCCCAACCGGACCCATATCCTCTATTGCCACGTAGAAAAAAAAGCCCTAACCTGCTGGGGAAAGGGCAGAAAGCCCTGCTGCCATCAGGGCATATGTGAAAACCCACTGCAGCTGAGAAGGAAAAAAAAATGGGAAAGAACAAGAAAACATCCTGATTCCAGATTATTAGAAGTCCCAAACTGGTGGAAGAAAGGCAGAAACATTTATATGACAAAACTTCAAAAAATTCAAAAACAAGTCACCCGCCTGAGAATGAGATTGCACCAGAACAAAAGACAGTGATCCTATTCCCTCTCCCAAGCGGTATCATAAATATCAATTGCAAGAGGAGACTGCAGCTAGAAGAGCAGAAATCATGATGTTGGGTCTTCTAGAGATATTTCACAAAGGAAACATCAAAACCTGAGAGTGGAGACATTAAAAAATCCTCTGGCAAACCAGCCCCACCCTAGGAACAGAGTAATGTAGAGGAACTTGAAGACTATTGCAGCAACAGCAAAACACTAACCCTGTCAGCCCCAGACTAGATTGACTCAAACCCTCACACTACAGTTCACCGTTGAATAACATGGGTTTCAACTGTGTGGATTTACTTATACGTGGGTTTTCTTCTGATTCTGCCACCGCTAAGACAACTCTTTCTCCTCCTTTTCTGCCTGCTTAAGGTGAATCAAGATGAACACGTGATGATCCACTTAATATATAGCAGACGTATTTTCTCTTCCTTCTGATTTTCTTAAAAATATTTTCTTTTGCTTACTTTAAGAATACCATATATAATACATATGACATACAAAATATGTGTTCATTAACTGTTTATGCTATCAGTAAGGTTTCCAGTCAATAGTAGGCTTTTAATAGTTAAGATGTGGAAAAGTCAAAAGTTATACACGGATTTTTGACTGCACGGGGCCACCATCGCTCCTAACCCCCACCAAGGGTCAATTACACAAGTTTAGCAAGCTAAGCCCAATTTCTCACATGGAATGATTCCTGGGAAAACTTTTAGAGATATAGGAACTGTAATCCTCAAAAAGCTCTTTAAAAACTTCATGAGGCTTTTCCCTTAATTGAATGAAACAGAACTGCAGGGGAGGCCTGTTTAGGGAGAGATCAGTATTCAGCAGGAGAGTGTGTGCTTGGGGTGGGAAACAGATAAATCTGCTGTAGTAAGTCAGAGGAAGGAAGAAGGAAGGGAGAGAAATAGGAAATTTGGGAGGGGAGTGTAGACTTCACGCCAAGGTAGCAAAACAAGGGCACTAAAGCTAGCATACACGTACAAATGTTTCCTAAGTTAATGCAAAGAGTAGGGAATGAAACAGTGAGGGAGGTGGGAAGAGAGGAACAACACTGGGCTGATCAGGCACGAGGCATCCGCATGACTCAGACTGAGGTGGAAGACGACAGAAATATTTGGGAAAGGCTGAGCTACCCAGGGTTGTAGAATGGAAAGAGGCAGAGTCAGGATTACCCCCAAATAGTGAGTGAGTCTGTACATTGTATATCCAGGGCTTGCTTCATGGCACATGCAACCAATGCAGCATCATAGCTGATGCCCTATGATCATTGTCTTTAAATTCTTTGTAATTTTATCTTAATACGTGTTTTGTTTTTTTTTTTGAGACGGAGTTTCACTCATGTTGCCCAGGCTGGAGTGCAATGGCGCGATCTCGGCTCACCGCAACCTCCACCTCCTGGGTTCAGGCAATTCTCCTGCCTCAGCCTCCTGAGTAGCTGGGATTACAGGCACACACCACCATGCCCAGCTAATTTTTTGTATTTTTAGTAGAGACGGGGTTTCACCATGTTGACCAGGATGGTCTCGATCTCTTGACCTCGTGATCCACCCACCTCGGCCTCCCAAAGTGCTGGGATTACAGGCTTGAGCCACCGCGCCCAGCCCTTAATACGTGTTTTATAAATGAAGTCCAATGAGCCAATAAAACTTGTGTGAGGTCTTCTCGGCTGACATGTGGACGTGGCTCCCATCACTTCACCTCCCCAGCACTGATTCTCTGCCATCTGCTCCTCCCCACTGTCTGGGGCCACAGGCAATTCCTGCCCTCCTGCTCACCTCCACCCTGCTGCCCTCTGCCCATATAGACACCTGATCTCATTAGCAGAGGAGTCCCCTTCTGCCATAACCTTTCACAATTACCTTGCTTCTGCCAGGGACACAGAGAGAATAAGATTTGGGGGCATGCACCCTACAGTGTCTGCACAGAGCTTGGAGTTAGTCATTCCCACCCAGGCTGCACCACAGAGTGCTTTGAGACAGATCAGGACGACCTGCTTCCCCACCTTGGTCCAAGAATCAAGTGCATCTCCATGCAGTGGTTGCAATTTCTTGGTGCTCACCTAACTGTGGAGGGGTAGAGTGGCCACAGTGGGAAGGGGAGACTGACTTCCTCTTCCCAGCAGAGGAACTCAGCAGCCAGTGGGCAGCTTGCATGTGCTCAGAGTCATACAGTGGAACCCACAGGTGAGCCTCTGTGCTCACCCTGTGAGTATCCCTGTACCCAAGGGGCACAGCACTAGCAATTTACACAGATAAACAAAAATAGCAAAACACCATAACAGGTTGAGACAGAAAGAAAGAGAAACTTCAGAAAGAATGAAAAAGTTTTATATTTTAATACCTTTAAAAGCACTCTTTTCCTGCCTATTTGAATGCAGACCTGCTATGTTCTGAATTGCTGTGTCTTCCC